TGTCCTTTTAATAAAGGGGAACACTCCCTCTGCTCCTTTTTATTTTTTTTATTTTTTTGGCACCTATGTGATTAAAGGGCTTGTAAATGTTCATACTTTTTGCAATTACATGTCATTTTTGTCTTAATTTTTTTCCTCTACTCTTCTCCAAAAGTTGGTGCTATTCCTGTAAATTATTTGGGGAAATAATTAGCTTGCTCTTCTACTTCTGTGACATCTGTTTATAGTAGAGCTCCTTGGTTTTGCTCAAAGTTCTTTTGAACCCGCCCACCTTTGAGGAAAGATATTATTTGGGTTTTGTTGGGTATTTTCAGCTTTTCTGAAGTGCACACTTCTGGACACCTCACCCTCTCCTTCCCAGAGGCTTTCCCTGTAGGAGCCTATTAAAATAAAGACAGAGGTCATCCAACGAGCTCTTCCTAAGTCTCTCCTTTACTAGAAATGTCTCTGTGGCCGCACAGGTCCTGCTCCCTCCTGGCCTCTCCGTCCTTCCAGAGCTCGTCTGTCCCTGCTCTGGGTGCATCCCTCCTGCTCACGGGGGCCTTGCTCCCTTCATTCTCCCGGCTCCTCTAACTTCTGTTTTTTCCTCCAGTGGCTTTTACCCTCTAAAATATAAATATATGCACATTTTTTCATCTTCAAATAAAAAACCCTAGCAGTGTCCTTCCCTCTAACTACTGCCACATCTCTCCTCTTAGCCAAATGTTGGGGAAGAGAAGCCCTCAGTCGCTGTCTTTACTTTCTCACGTCCCACTCCCTGCTGCACTCAGGGCCACCATCCTGCAGGCACACAGCCAGCCACAGGCTGCCACAGCCAAAGGCATTTGTAGGCTTCCTGCCCTCCCCACAACAGTTGACTGTGTTTAGGGAATTAGGTATGGAGTGCCTGCTGGCCAGGCACCGGGCAGGTGCCGCCTTCACAGAACTGAAAGGCAGATGTGACCCCCACCCTCATGGGCGCAAGGGGCCAGGCATTCCTGATAATACTCAGGTTCCTTTCCTTCCACTGCTCACCTCTGCAGCCTTCACTTAAATGCTACTTAAATCTCCCTGTTCTCTCAGTCTTCTTCTTTTTCTTTCTTATTATACATAGCTTCTCAAAGCGATCACTTCTATACCCATGGCTTCAATTACTTTATACACAGGGTGGGGCAAAAGCCAGTTTCCAGCTGGGAGTACATGAAATAGTTTATTCTTGTATTATTATTTATTGATTATTGTATTGTTTTCCATATGAACAACTCTAAACCTACTTTTGCCCCACCCTGTATATTCTAATGACAATACAGTTTTAATTGTTTTCATTTAACAGTTTTATTTTACATTGGATGCCTCATTTACTAAAGCCATAGATTCCAAGTTGCTCTATAAAAGCAATCACACAAAAATGTGATATTCTTAGTATGTCAACTTTAAGAAATGTCCCTAATTATTTTTTGGTCGTCTGATGGTAGGAAGATTCAGGCTGGGGAAAGGCATGAGGAAACTTGGGGTGCTGCTAGAAATGTTCTCCATCTAGATCTCGTTTTATATCTTGACCTATGTTACATATATCAAGAATCACTGAGCTCTACAGTTAACATCAGTACACTCACACACTACACTGTTTGTTGGTATGTTATAGTTCAATTTCAAAAGAAATAATTACTCCAAAAATGACTTTCACAATTACCTCTACAGCAAATAGCTTAACATAGAAAAGGTTGCGGTTTATACATTTACCAGGGGTCAGCAAACTACGGCCCACAGGCCAGCTGCCTCTGTTATAAGTGAGGTTTTACTGGAACAGCCACAGGCTGCAGCTGCAGGGCTGAGTAGTTGTGTCGGAGACTAAGATCCTTTAAGAAAAGGTTTACCAACCCGGACTTAAACTGCAAATAATGTCTTTAAACTGTCCCTTTTTAGGATAATTCACATCAATCTCACCTAAATACCAAAGTTACAAGGAGTTTCATAAGACGGCTGGATATATTATATTAGTCCGTTAACTGTAACCGAGCGTTGCACAAACCCTAGCACGGGGGACGTAGCATTCTTTCGCCTTGCGCTGCACTACGGGTTTAATGACGCAGATCACAAATCGGGACTTTATTTGGCCGTGCACAACGGTAATTTTTTAAATTTGGTGTTATTATTTTAAAAACAGGAGTGTGTACTTAAAAAAAAAATCAAGATTTTGGCTGTTCATAGAAAGAAAGGGAGATGGAGGAGCGCTGGAACCGCATTCCTGCAAGGCAACCCTGAGCTAGAGTGACTGCAACGCTGAGGCTGAGCATCGGGCCGCACTTCACACGGACTGCACTGTGTGTCAACAACTTCTAGAATGCCAGTTCCTTTTCTTATAGCAGAGCTGGGAGGACATGAAATACTGGTTCTATGAGCGCCCACATGAAAAGTAGCAAAACAAGAGGCAGACAGGGAAGGGTAAATATTTGTTAACACTCAGCTCACTTGTTCCCTGACTGTGGTGGGCATGCAAGCTCACAGCTTTAGGTTTAAGCAACGGCCTCTAGGAAAATGGCAGAAAAAAATCAGAGATATGTAAGAGCCAGAATGACCAGAAAGGGCAATAGTTAGTTTCTCGATGCTCACAAACATCAAGTGGTAGTGATCTCCCCATATCTTCAAATGTGTCCCTACTATCTTGGGTAATTTTGCCTGTTAAAAAGCTTCTTTGTACTATTTTTGCAACTTCTATGAGTCTATATTTATTTAAAAATAAAAATATTTTTTTAAAAAGCATTTCCTTGCACTGGCTAAAAATCTGTATTCCTTTCTGTACCTTAATTTGTCCTCAATTGTATATGACAAGTTTAATCCCTCTTCCACCAGAAAGCTCTTCCATCAACTCCCTTGCCCACATCCCCACCAAGAGTCTCCTTTCTCAAGGGCTCTCTTATCCTATAGAATATTCATTCAATCAGCAAATATTCATTGAGCATCCACCACAAGTACAGTACGTTCTAGACTCTGGGGTTATAAAAGTGAACTATGGTCTTAACTTGTGGAATCAACACTAAATTATGTCTAATAATCTCACATAAGTGATCATTAGAATTTCCAGTGGCCATATCATATTGCTAATTTTATTACACTTATAGTACACTAATTCCCAAATTCTTCCTCTTATTCATTGCTCAGACGTATGCTCAAGCAACTAAGTTACTGGATCCAAATTTCTTTATGGTCATCCTTCCTAAATGTTATATTTTTAGAATCTGCCCTTTTCAGTCTATCAAGAACTTCTAGAATGCCAGTTTCTTTTCTAACTTAGCTCACACCCTATTCCTTCTGGTTTCTTGTTGCCTATAAATCTGATAAATATATCTCTCTGTATAATCATCTGAATTAGTCATTAAAATGTTGAACAGGACAGTAGTGAGGTCACTAAGAACCTATGGCATAGGTTACCAGCATGCACCCAGTACACATGGACTCATTATTCAGTGCTCTGCGGCTTCCCTCACTCAACAAGCTATGAGTTGCCCTAGCCAAGGTTGCTCAGTGGTTAGAGCGCCGCCTGCAGAGTGACAGGTCCCGTGTCAAGGGCCAAGGGTCGCAAGCTCCATCCCGGGCCCCGGTTGGGGCGGGTGCCAGAGGCAACCAATCAATGTGTCTCTCTCACATCGATGTTTCTCTCTCCCTCCCTTCCACTCTCTCTGAAAAACAATGGAAAATACCGTCAGGTGAGGATTAAAAATAAAACAAAAAACAAGCTATGAGTCACCTGATGCCACTGTCACATCTACATCTGTCCACCAAAATAATATTGGGTTTAGGCCAAACACCTTCCCAAAGTTCAGATATAGCATGTTCACCAATTTTCCTTAATTATCTTGCAAGAAAAACTTTTTTTTTTTTTTTAAATGAGAAGATAACAGTTAAAAGGGATGAACAGCTAAAGGAGGGTAGGTCACTATGTAGCTTCTAATATAAATGAGAAAGCTTTATAAATAAATACTAGATATACTTTTCTAAAAAAAGAAAATCAGTTTATGGAAGAAGGTACCATTATTTAAAAAGAAACGTTTTTTAATTAAGACTNGGTAGGTCACTATGTAGCTTCTAATATAAATGAGAAAGCTTTATAAATAAATACTAGATATACTTTTCTAAAAAAAGAAAATCAGTTTATGGAAGAAGGTACCATTATTTAAAAAAAGAAACGTTTTTTAATTAAGACTATTTATCTAGTTATATGAACTTTTATACATATTGTATCTTTGACCAAGGTGCAGTTCAACAGCTAGCAAATTTTATCACTGGGAATTGTTTTCTATTGTTAAAGCCAAACAACTTTTTTTTCCCAACTAAAAGTTTCTTGCCTTCAAGAAACCACAGTCACTGGTGGTTATTTTTAAAAATGGAAATGTCCTCAAATTTCCATAAGTATATTTGAACTCTATAAACTCTACCATTCATACCAGAAAATTGGGTTGAAATCACTTTTTAAAATGCTAATATATGTGAATAAAGCATGAAACATAACACAAATTAACATTTACCACTTGGAATTGAAATATGAAAAGTAGATAAACCATGAATATGGAAATGATTGTTCTCTGGCACAAAATCTGAAAGCATTTTATACGTTTTAAGTAAATTTTAAGTAAACATTCAGAGTATCATTTTTAAGCTTTAGAATTAACATCCAGCAGAAGTCATTATACAGACACAACCTGGGGTTCTTGATAATTTGGCAAAAGCTAAGAATACAGTTGATTTTTTTGTCTCACTAAGAAAAACAACCAGTAACAGTGCACACAAGTTCATGTGAGGTATGTACAACTAAGAAAATAAACGAGAAACACCTCAGACCTCTTCGTGTAGAGGAGTGTTGTTATACGTGACTTAAAAATTATGTTCATTAAAGCCAAATTTTTACTATTTATATCTTTTATCCTAGTAGATGATAAATCTACCTTGAAAGTAATAAAACAAGATTTCCTGCAAAATACTCNACTATTTATATCTTTTATCCTAGTAGATGATAAATCTACCTTGAAAGTAATAAAACAAGATTTCCTGCAAAATAAATTTGCTGCTCTGCACAAAAGCATAACCCACCACCCTGCCTTGCATCGTACAGGAAACTTAAAAGGTTTTTATTTTACTCAGCAAAGACGTCTTGAACACAGGTATCTATAAGGTGTGGACTTACACCCTATCATGCTATGTCCTATTTTCCTATTTGCTATAGTTCTTTTGTTCTCAAAATTTAGTTTTGAAACTGGAGAATGTTAACCTCCAGAGAAATTTATTTCCTTTCAAACTGTGTACCTGAATATATTTCTGCTGTGTTTCATCATTCAAAACATGTGCAACATGCTTGGAGAAAATCTTTTCCCTACCCATTCTGGCATGGATACTAACCACAGTGACACTGATGGGCCAAGGGGCATTTCCAATGACCATCTGAAGATAAGCTTCATTAGCCTAAAAAAGAAAGTTTAAGAAGAGATCAGTAAAGCAGAAATACTGTGCTGGTCCAAATTTTTATTTCAAGTATTTCACAGGTCTTTATGATGTAATTTTCCACCTTTTAAGCATGTTGAAAATATTACCATCCCCCTTACTCAAACAAAAGAAATTAAAATACAGGATGACTGACTGCTCAGGACCACAAATGTCCATGGAAAAACAGAAACCAAAGCTAACCTTGTGAGTAAAAAGACAAAGATTCCTCTGCAGCCTCTGAGCACGGAAAATGAATGCATTTCGATCTGGAACTGCCAGGTAGCTAATCCGATGTCCTGACAGAAACTCTAGTGTGGATCTCCTTCCTCCCTGGTCTCCTCCACAGAAGACAGAGCCTCACTAGTTTTGCACAATCCGTCCTGAAACTATGTCCACTCCCTGCACAGCACTGAGACCTCTGAAAGCAGCGGGGGCTCTCACGCAGCAACGGTTACATGGGGCCCAGGGCAGATGTAAACAGAGACCGAATGCTGCCCTTGAGTCAAACAGCTGGAGGATGAGATCAGCTCACTTTGCCCCCCCCAACCTGCCGAGAACCTGACCGTGACCGCTACAAGCTGTAAAGACGGTAACCAAAGAAAGCAAAGGGCTCTTTTTCCAAACCAAGCCTGGCGACTTGTGAGGAAGGAAAAGAGCAAGAAAAAAAAAGAAAGCAGGGAAATTCTAGAAAACCCCGAGGGTCTCAGGGAAGCCTGTATCGCCAGGCCTCAAAGAGATTTTCATTTAAAAACATCAAACACCTATGTGATTAATATATAGAATTGATTTAAAAAACAACAATCAGGTACTACAAATAGCTCTATTCAATTTTTTAAAGCTAATTTTAAAAAGGTGTATGCACATTTTTATCACTGATTCCCATGTATGTGAGTTTTAACACTGGACATTTACTGATAAAATTTCCAATATTTAGATTCCCTGAATTTAAAAAAAAAAAAAAAAAAAAAAAACCAACCAAAAAAACACCTGTTCAAACAGGTTATTAAGTTTCTTGGTTCTTTCCGTAGTTTACATAAAATAAACTCTCACCTGATTCTCATATATGAGAATGAGAAACGTAACCAAAGGAAAGGCAAGTGATCTGAATTCTTCGTGCAGTGATGGTGGCCTATCCATCCATTCCAGTGCTGTCCTTAGTAAGCAGCATGCGACTAACAGAAACTATTCAAGAATGAAGTTCATAGCTATAAAACAAAAACATATTCTTGATGAAACTAACTGGCTCTCATATAAAGGGCATAAAAATAATACTTTAGCCTCATTAGCATGAGGCTCTGATCAAGGAGACCACCAGTCACCCAGGAATGCAAGCAGTCCCTTCTGAGTTCAGATACTCTGAGCACAGAAATAAGCAATGTCATTCCCACTTTTCTATCAGGGCCTGTCTACTGTTCTGGAACTGTCACTGTAACTACCGCACTGAAATTCTCTACTACTACTCTCCTGGGAGGCACAGCCACAGAAGCCCCCTCTCCACCCTCAGCTCATGGACCACCAAGCAGTGTCCCATTTCCAATCTCCACTACTGAACTAGGCCCTTCTAGTCTTGTTCCCCTCCCCCAACTGACAGCCTTCCACTCCCCTTTCTAATCTCTACCCCAGCAGTGCTTGGCCACCAGAGCCCTTGCCCCCCGCCACCTCCTCCCAGAGCCCATTCAGGAGGAAAGACACTGGAGCAAGGGGGAAATCTTCCCTAACAAGAGTTCTGCTATGCTGCAGTCCTGCAGTGGGGGAGATGAAGGCTAGGAGCCTGACTTGGAACATTTTCTCATAGAAACAAGTATAAAAGTTGGTCAAATTACATTGTATCATTAGTACAACAGTCCAGCTATATTAAGAATTACGTTTTTACACCATGGAATACTACGCAGCTGTAAAGAAGAAGGATCTCGTACCCTTTGGGACAGTCTGGATGGACCTGGAGAATATTATGCTAAGTGAAATAGGCCAGGCAGAGAAAGACAATCATTACATGATCTCACTCATATGTGGAATCTAAAGAACTTAATAAACTGATGAACAGAATAGATTCAATGACATGGAAGCATAGATGAGACTGACGAATGTCAGAGGGATGGAGGAGGGCGGGTGGGTGGAGGGGGAGAGAGTAACCAAAGAATTTATATGCATATATGCACAACCCAAGGACACGGACAATGGTGGGGAGAGGGACTGGGGAGGGAGAAGGAACGGGGTGGAACGGGTCATTGGGGAGAAAAAGGGACATCTGTAATATTTTAAACAATAATAAAATTTAAAAAAAAAAGAATTATGTTTTTAAAGCTGGCCTGCAAAATGAACCTATATAACATTGTTTCTATGGAATAATTTATTCTAAGCCATAACCACCAATCTATACATTTTGAAAGTCCCATTCATGAAATGAACATTACCTATATCCAGTATATGATCTGAAGAATCTTTACACCTACCTTATAAATGACTAAAAAATGCAGTGTGGCCTGAAAGTTTACTACTGAATGACCAACAATAAAGCTTACAAAACATCAGGGGGGAAAAGGTGTTGTTGTTTTTTACTACTAATTCATTTTACATTTATTCCTAAATCTCTAACTTAAAACACTCCCACACTAAATGAACATATTATGTACACAATCTAGATAGACAAATAACCATATTTCCAATGCACAGCATGGTAATGTACATATTTTCTCTGCAATGTGAATTTAATGATATCTGTTATGGATTTCTCAATATCAGCAGGAAGATTCTGGAAAAGAAATAAAAAGCATAACTAATTTTGGAAGCTCCTGTGTAGTTATAGACTGCATTTATTCTAATTTTATATATTCTATTTTTTTAAAGTCTGTTAATAAAAGCACTTTTTGAGAAACCTCACCCTTTTCTATAACATTCTGAAAAGGGTCTAAGAGAGGACTTGGTCTGTTTCTGAGTAGCACTCTTCAGTTTACCCTGCATGCTGCGCTTCACATAATCTCTGGCATTCAATTCTTTAGCCCAAACACCAAGGACCTGTTGAAAGAGTGGGTAAAATTAGACTGCAATGCCACCCAGTGGTTGAACAAGTTTAAAGTTCCTTAACACACAAAACAGTAACATCCTTAGAGTAAATTTCTCAACTGATTACAATATCACCCACTGATATTTAATGAATGAGCTATGCCTGCTTATTCTGCCATGTTTTGAAGTAACGCCTTTGGCAATTCACAAACTTTCTTATTCTATATATATTCCTTGCCCAAAGACCATCAATTTTCCCCTAAAAAGAATTACCAAGTTACATGAATAACTATTTGATAGAAATAAATTTTTACTCGTATTTATATTACATAAAATTCACCCCACCTAGATTATCAGCCATAATACCATATGTGCTGTGATATGTAATAAATCCCCCAAGTATGTTGTTGTATTAGTATTTGGAGTTTCTACTTTTGCAGTAGAGACAATAATTCAATTAAAAATTCCCACTAAACCTGGCCAGTGTGGCTCAGTTGTTGAGCATCAACCTATGATCCAGGAGATCAGGGTTTGATTCCCCGTCAGGGCTCCATCCCCCGTAGGGGGCGTGCAGGAGGCAGCCGATCAATGACTCTGTCATCATTGATGTTTCTATCTCTCTCTCCCTCTCCCTTCCTCTCTCTGAATCAATATGGACATATTTTTTAAAATGTATGGAAAGTAAAAGAAGTATGTGTCTATTTGGGTTAAAAAAAAAAAAATCCCACTAAAGCACCTAACTAACTAAAGGAGAAGGAAAGGAAAGAACAGAAATAAAAGAAACTATGACCCATTACCCTCCCGCTGCCCCCC